CCGCACACTGATGAGTGGAGAGGAGCACAAGGCAAGCCGCCTCTCCGATGCCCACAGACAGAACGAAGGCACCGTCACGGGAGGAGAGGAAGGCACTCACGTCATCAGCCCACACATCTTCCTGGGCGCCTGTGAGCCTGGCAGTGTCCCAGGCTCTGGAGATGGAGGGGACAGACAGGCCACCTGGTGGGGAGGGACCAGCATCCCATGCACCCGGGCATATGTGAGCATAGATCCCACTGCACCTCTCACCAGCCAACGAGGCAAACAGTATCATCTGAGCTTCGGTTTCCCCAATTATACAATGAAGATACTGTCTAGGCCACTGGGTGAAATTAGGTAATATATCTAAAATATGTGACACGCAGTAGGAGACCCACAAATGTTATGAATGGAAGCTGATCTTGGCTGAGGGCTGACTTGTTTGAGGGATGTGCTGGCCCTGCCACATGCATTAGCTCATTCAGTCCTCGAAATTTAGCATCATCCACTACTTTATGGACAACGAGACGGAGGCTCAGTACAACTACCCCGGGTGAGAGTCAACATTCAGATCCTGGTCATTTGTCTGCAGGGCTGGTGCTCATAAAGACACGGAATGTACCCGCTCCCCTCTCCTCCCTCTCCTGCAATTTCCAGTCCAGGTTCTGAAGGAACAAGGGAGAGAGGCGTCTGAAGGGCACCCGAGACTCAGACGGCCCTCCCTCAAGATTCCATGCCCGGGACTTTGCACACAATACCCACTCTCCACTGTCCAGTCACACGGTTCCTCTTGTCTGTTGCTTCCAAACAGGGCTCCAAATTCTAATTCCTCTGACCCTTTCTCACTTCCGTGTCTTCCTAACCAGCAGAGCTGGAGTTCTGGATGGAATCAGCATCCTCAGCAATATCTAAGGGACCCTGTGCTGCTTCTGCCCCTGGAATACGAGGACAGGGCCCATGTTGGAACCAGCTAAACGGCAAGTCAACGCCTATCATTCTTTAATTATGAATTTGGTACATGTTCAGTCAGAATCCTTGCTTGTTCTGCACCCGGGATCTTAATCAATATACACGGCACGTGTTTCTCCCAATCAGCAGGCCGGGGGGCTCTCCCTCTGAGTTTCAGTTCAGGGCATGACAGGCTGTCTCCTGGAGACGGCCCTACCCACGGCTTTCCAAGCGAATCTGAAAGACGCTTCAACACCAGGGTAATCACATCATTTACTGTCCAGACCAACACTTTAGAGAGCAAAGGAGGACGCTTGTAAGAATTATACTGGGACAACAGGTGTAAACTGGAGCGGCACTGGGCAAACCAGAACACACGGTCGTCCTCCAGCTCCACTGTTTCTGAACTGGCTCCCTTCCCAGGAGCCTCCTCTCCCTGTCCTGGGGAAGGGCGAGCCGGCTTTACTGATGGTTTAGCATTCCATTCACCAGACGCTTGAATCACATGAGCCCCCAAGGGCTTGACCCAACCTTGGTCCAACCCCTGTGGTCAGGAAATGGAATGTGGTGGGGTGGCTTAGCCAAGGTCAGAAGGTGGAGTCCGCTTCACCCAAAACATGGCAGGAGGAGCTGACTATTCCCACTGTGGCAGACAGACTCTAAAGGTGGCCACCAAGAGCCCACCTCCTGTTATCACAGCCTTGCATAATCGCCTCCCTTAGAGAACAAGCACAACCTGTGCCTTGCTTCTAACCAATGGGAGATGGCAAAGGTGACAGAGCGTACATAATCCTGACTGATAAGATTGTAGCGCCTGTCCTGCCGAAGTCTTTTCTTTCCCTTGATGGCTTGATAAAGCCAGCAGCCACGCTGAGAGCTATGTGGCGAGGGACCTTAGGACTCTGACTCCAGTTCCAATGTGGGTTTTTTCCCCCACACCAAGTGATTCTCCAACACCAGCTGGGTGTCCTACAATTCAACTCAATTCGGACGCTGTCTACCTGGAGAGAGCGTCAGATCCCACAGGTTGAGGTCTCAGTCCTACAAGACTGCGCCCCACCCCCACTTCAGACACCAACTGCAAGTCCTGATCGTCTGTCCCCCGAGCTTCTGACCAAGCATCTACAGACTGGAAGTTCCCATGACCTCTTCCTTGGGTTGGATTAATTTGCTCGAGTGGCTCACAGAACTCAGAGAAACACTTTCCTTAATAGATAACCAGTTTATAAGAAAAGGATGTAATTCAGAAGCAGCCAGATGGAAGAGAAGCATAGGGTAAGGTGTGGGGGAAAGGGCACAGAGATTCCACGCCCTCTCTGAGTGCGCGTCTCTCCTGAATCTCCATGCATTCACCAACTCTGAAGATCTCCCAATCCCATCCTTTTGGGTTTTATGGAGGCTTCATTGCATAGTCATGACTGATTACATCATTGGCCGTTGGCGACTGATTCAACCTCCATCCCCCCTCCCCCACACCCCAGGCCCGGGGATAGGACTGAAAGTTCCAAATCTCTAATCACATGGTTGTGTCCTCTGGCAATGAGCTCCCATCCTTAGGTGAGGTCCAAAGCTTACCTCATTAACATAACAAAAGACACTGTCATCACTCTCATCACTTAGGAAATTTCAATGGTTTTAGGAGCTCTGTTCCAGGAACAGGGATGAAGACCAAATATATACTCCCTATTGTAAATCACAACATCACAGACCTCTAGAAACAGAGGCTGGTTTCTGAACAATAGCCAGCAAGAAAATGAGGTTTCAGTCCAGCAACCTGCAAGGACTTTGAGCTGCCTGTAGGATCTGACAACGGTCGACAAGCCACAAGGAACTGAGTTCTGCCAATAACCGTGCTGGTTTGGAAGCAGATACTTTCCCAGTCAAGCCTCAGATGAGAACACAACCCAGCCAACGCTTTGCAGCCTTGCAGAGGACACAGGTAAGCTGTGCCTGGACCCACAGAAACTGTGATATATATTGTTTGAAGCCACTAAGTTTGTGGTCATATTGTTACACAGCAATACACAACCCTTGCATCCACAAAAGTAAAATCACAGCACTGTAGTCATGGAAACAGGGCAGAGATGCTGGATGACAAAAACAGCAACATCCACCACTATTACAAATAATGATTGAATATTTGGTGTTCCCACTCTGCTGTTTCCCTCAACAGAGCATAAATAGCAAATTATTTGTGTTGTAGTTTATTAGCAAATAAATTCACTTCACCATCATATTTTACCACCAAAAACACACGTTAAGAAAAAAATCCAAATGTACACCTTAAATATATACAATTTTCAATTGTCCATTATACATCAGTACATCTGGAAAAAATGTAACCCTTGATTTTGAACCATTCCTAGCAGCAAAATGATAGTGGTCATCTAATAATTGGATTTAAAACTGACTGTGGGCAGTATTTTATGATCCAGTAAGAATAACTGAAAAATCAAGAAAATGGAAATAACCATAATAAATTAAAACTAAATAACAGTAAAAGTGGTGTGTAGGATTAGAGGACATGCTGATTTGTTTGAGAAATTCACAATATTTTAAGGAATAATGTGTTCAATTTTACATAAAGAAAAGTCACAAATCATAAATACGCTCGATGAATTTTTAAGTTTGGTGAACTTTTAACAGTGAAAATACTCATGTAACCACCACTGGCATCACACCCAATCAAATACAATCCACGTAAATAGCTAGAAGTAAACGAAACCCTATTGATGTAGGAGATATTTGGAGAGCCCGCCTTCCTCTCTGGCAGCCCGAGATGTTACAGGGATGTGAATTGTTACATCTATCAGCCCAAAGGTAAGTCTCAAGAAGGATGAGAAGGTGAAAGTTAGAAAGCAGGAAATATATAGATGTATTCCTCTCTCGGTTATGTCAGCCTCTGCGTGTGCACGTATCTGCAAACCTGAGACATAGACGCAAACCAGGAAGGAAACAGACCAAACCTGCAGAGGGTTATCTCCCGGTACAGGAATTGCTGTTGATTTTTTAATTCCCTCCTCATCTTTTTCTGTATTTTCCAATAATTTCATAACTTTTTAGAATCAGGACCAAAGTGCACTTTTTAAAAGATGGAATTAATCTGGGTTAGTTCAGAATATACTATGTGCTTCCGGTTTAAGCTACGTATCCTGATATGTACCCAGGTGCCCTGGCCCAGGATGTCAGAGGGGACTGCCTGTCACATTCAGCAGGACACACGGGGAGGCGGTGAGACAGACCGAGAGAGTAAGTAGAGGAGAGATGGTCTCCTGGGGACAGACACCTCCACCAGGAAGGTCCAGGAGCATCTTAGCGGGAGCCTGAGGACGGAGGAGATAGGGTGGTAAGGGCTTTCCAGCCCCGGCTGGTCCCCACCAATCCACAGGAAGGGGGGAATCCAGACAGGCACCGGGAGGGTCCCAGAGCGCAAATTACACTCCCGAGGGTGGCACCAACCCAAGGGGAGGGGCAACCTAGAGCAAAGCAGAGAATGTGACTACAGACAGGAACGTACAGCCCTAAAGGGCACTGACGCCACTTGTGGGTCTCAACAGATGGCTAATGGCATGTAAAAACATTCACAGTTCAATGTTAAAGACAGAGTTACATAAAGAATATTACCCCATTTTATACAAAACACACACGCACAAACACACACTGGGAGAACTCAACATGTTAAAGTAGTTATCAGTGGGAGGCAGCATTATGGGGGATTTTTTAGTTTCTTCTGTATTTTCCAAATTTTCTACAATGAGCATGCGTTACTTTTATCATCTAAACATTACCAACATCCGTATACATAAGAAGGCCCCAGATCTCAGGAGGGCTCCCCAGAAGCCCACAGTGGTCAGGAGCTTGGACCCTGAGCTTGCTCAGGGACTGGCCATGGTCAGCATGTGGTCACCAACCGCACAGAGGCAGGTCCCCTGGAGGAGAAGCTGGAGAAGCTCAACTCTCTGCACCTCTGTGTCCGGGGACCGGGCACGTGCTAAGCTTGCAGGTGGAGACATGGAAAGTCAAGGCTAGCAAACAGGAGCCCCCACCCTCTTGCCATCCAGATTACTCACCCTGATCCGCCCAGCCGTCTTGGTTCCTACCCAGGGGCAGCTGCCTGATGCTGGAGAAGACCCCCCAATCCCATAGATTTGTCTTTTAACTTCATGGCCCCGACCTCGGCGGGCCTCCCAGCCACACAGCTGCTTCTCCTCCTCCTCTTCCGCCTCCTCCAGTGGGTCCTCCCAACCTCCACCTCCCTCTCCGCATCCCACCACTTCCTCTGGCATCTTCAACAGATGGTCCCACCTCCTCCTCTTTGCAGCAAGTCTCTTTGAAAACAAACTCTCAACTCTCGACCCCACCCACAGCGAGGTGTTATCTGTGTCTCCCCACCCTCCTCTCAAAGGCCTCGCAGTGTACCAGGCACCAAGCCGCTCAGGGGCAAGAACACAAAGAAGACACACTCCGGTCTTGCAGAAAGTTTGCTTTTTCTCTTCCTTGCCCTCCCCTCGTCCAAGGTGAAATACTGGATCAGGCCTTCAGAGCATTCCCTCCCAATCCTCCGGGACCTTATTATCTCTCATCTCGCCTTTTAACTGCCTCTGCTCTTCAGCATACCAACTGCCTCAAGAATTTCCACTCTGCTTAATTTTAAAGCATTCTCTTAGCCCTCACCCCTCTCTCTGGTAAACTCCCACCGCCTCCCCCAACTCTTCACAGCGACCTTATTGAAAAAGTGCATCTCCCGTGGCCACCTCCCGGCCCTGCAGTCTGATCTCCACGCCCGCCGTGCATCTCCGCTGGGGACGAGCAAAGACACTTTGGAGAAGTGTGAAATCTAAAGGACGCCCTCTCTCCTTATCTGACTCAATTAAGATAGGGGAGTGTCTCTTTGTACAGCAATGGGCACTTTTCATCACTCTCTTTTCCTTCAAACTCTTTTCTTTGGCCTTCGAGTCACTTTGCAGGCTCATGGCTTTCCAGATTCCTTTCGGGACCCTCGTCCTCCTGCCCCCCAAACATCAGTGTCCCCTAGATTGCCTGCTCTGACTCCTGACACTGCTTCCCTTGGGGAAATGCATCCAGACTCCCAGCCTCAACCACTCCCTCCAGACTGATTATTCCCCCAAACACGTTCCAGACTAGAACTCGCTCACAGACGCCAACCAGGGCAGCGGAGTCACAACACACCAACATTTGACTTAAAGGAATTCAAGGAGACTCAGTCAATAAAAAATCTTGTAAGAGAGAAATAAAGCAATAGAAATAGCTCGGGCCATTCCACGCAAGGAGCACCTGGCCTGCAGTGAGCGTTACGCTGTGGTTTCCTCGGGCGTCTCATTCCCCAAATGCCTCTGGAAGGCGAGCAGCGGCCAGAGTCTAGGGTTTCCACATGCTGCCAGCCCTAAAGGTAACCCGCTGCTCCAGCTCCTGTTCAACTGAAACACTGGAGCAAAGTTCTCATTCTTGGACTTGAAGGTCATGGTCCAGCCCAATGCCTCCTTAGAGATTTTCGAGCATAATTTATGCAATTTTCACCTCATACCTTAATCTTAGGAACAAGGAAGGTCTAAAATGAGGGAAAAGGGGAAACTGAAGTACACTCAAAATTACTCCCTGGAAAATCCCTTGAATTGTCCATCACATACAAGGTTGACACATATAATCATTCACAATAATATGTATTTATACAGTAATGTCCAATACGTCATAAAGAGTAGGCAAGATATTTTGTAGTTGACTACGAGATTAAGATAGTTAGTTCACATTTAGAGTCTCTGTTGCAGGAGAAAAAAAAAAACGTTGAATTTGCATAAGGAAATTAAGTTATATTCACATCTGATGTGATGCTTCTGAGCTCTCTCTAAAGGATTGCAGAAAATCTCCCCAGAGAAGAGGGGCTTGAGCTGATGTTAAGAAGAGGAGTTTGCCCAGAACACCAGTGGGGTGAAATTATTGCAGGTCCCACCACAGCATCAGGCACCTCTTTCCTGCTCAATCCATGTTATTGAATTAAACTGAAGCAATATGTAGAAAGATTTCGAAGGAAGAAAGAGCACAGTACGTGGCAGAAAATGCCAGGTGACTTCAGCGTTGTTGGGGTGTAAAGTGTGAGGTTGGGATCAGAGGAGGGAAGGGCAGGTGAGCAGTGGTTGAAGATGGTCTGAACCAGGAGGCAGGGCCCACATGTCACATAGATCCCAGGAGGTGGGCTGTGACAGAAGGTAGAGCCTTCTGTGCAAAGCTAAGGACTAGACGCTTCATCCTAGAATTTCTAAGTTTTTGCAGGGTTACAAGAAATGAGGCGACATGATAAGATTGGCATTTCAGAGCACCGGACCCTGGACAGAGATTGACGTGGAAAGAGACGTGGACACGAAGACCCTTTAGGAAGTTGGTGAGAGGGGACCTCCCCTTCAAGGACAAACGAAGACACTGCTGTCTAATCCTCAAGGCAATTTTAAGGAAAATGGTCTTAAACTAAAACACTTATACAACATGTCCAGTAAACTGATGATTCGCTGCTTTGCGAGATTGAAGTCATAAAGGACATGTTCATTCCTTCAGCTCCTCTCCACGGTAAAATGGCGCCGTATCTTAGCACCTTCTGTTTTCTCCGGCAGTGTCTCTGCATAAACACCCTCCTCTCCACGCTCACCATCCCAGCCCTCCTGCTCCTCCTGAGGCTGCCTTCTGGTGATTAACCCTCCTTCACTGATACCCTCCTTCTGCCTCTTCTCTGCTCCCCTTCGTTTATAAACATGAATGTTCATACTCACCCGGGGCTGAATTATTTTCTTCTTGAGCTTTCTTGAGCCCTCTTGAGGGACCCTTGAGTCTGGTACCCTCCCCCTTGTCCAGCCAGCCTTTCCTCTCCCTCCTGCCTCCTTTCACAAAAAAGCAATCGGTGCTCAGTGCCTCACCACCCACTCTCTCCCTGATGAATACCGTGTCTTCTGGTCTTGACCCTCCAGGGCTCTGTCCTCCTGCGGGCCCTCACCTTCCAGCAGGATGAAGCATGCGCACAAATAGCACACCCCAGGCAGCGTCAAACCGTGCAGATAAAGAGCCAGGGGAGAAAAGAGGCAGCTGGACACTTGAGCCAAGGAAGAACATGAAGGAGTTGGCGTAGGACCTGTGCCTGGAAAGATAGGCCACCTCCTTCTCATAAGTGACAAAAATCCAATGCAAAATCATTTCAGCAAACAGAGAATGTATTGTTGCCCACAGCAGAGAAGTCCGAGGAGTGAACCGAGGCTTAGCTGATGCCTGTCAGGCACATTCTCCTGCCCCTTCATCTCTTGGCCCTGCTCCCACGTTGGGTTTGTTGTCAGATAGGAGAACGTCAGAGAATAAATGGTCACGGCAGCTCCAGGCTCATGCAGTCTTGGAGCTGGAGTCACAGAGTCTCCCTCCAGGTGCCCTATCCACCCTGAGCAAAGGCTGGCTGCTCAGCAAGGTCACGTCCCCCTCCACAGCTTCCCAAACAGGAAGGGACGAGGAGGGAATCAGGAGATGGATGGAGATGGTCAACAGGAGGGCGCGTTTTGGGAGAACACGTGTTCCTGTGTGTGGGGAGAAGGGGAAGAAAAGAAGCTGTGACTGAAAAAGAAGTTGGGAATGAGACGGAGCCCTAGAAAGCCATTCTAAAGGTATGTGTGTGATTTTTTCGGGAGGGCTGTGGAGGGTTGGTTATTTTTAGGCACTGAAAAAATATTGATGGTTATTAAACAGAACAATGACCAAGTGCAACTGGGAGTTAGGAAACAAGACTATGGCCATTCCAAGCACCACAGAGTCGGGAATTCCTGGAAATACAAGGAATTCCTCGCTGGTCATGATAGAACCTTCCTGGATGATACAGGTAGAATGGTCATCTCTTCAGTCAGAAGCTGAGGTGAGCAGGCAGAATAATGCCTTCCAAGCAGGAGGAGTGGTAACTACTTCCTGTGGAAAGACAATAGGATAAGACAGCAAAATTGTGATCCTGAAGGATTTCCAGTGAAGGATGGTGGGGAAGCGGGAATGTCATCACGGTTTCTACTTAGAGAATCCTAGTGTATCAGGACAGCCATACTGGCTGTTGAAATATGAAGATACTTCTGTATATCAGTTGGTAAATAACCATTACCTTAACATCCCCTCCCAGGGCCACTGAGACCCTCCCATGTTCCAGTGACTACAGCATTGAGTCTGACCCACGGTGGGGGGTGCTTCCAGAACCTGGTGCATCATATATGGTCCATGTTCTCTGTGCAGATAGGTTGATGCCTGTACCACCTTGATTGTTACATATTTTGGATCTTAGCCCTGGGTGAGAGCATCATGGAGAAGAGCCCCTGGACCATTTTCCAGCATCCAGGGAGCACTGGGGAGGCTGGACCACCAGAGAGCTGAGGATGGGGAGCTGCCCATAGAGGAATGGGCCGGACCCCTCCTGTGGAGCTCACGGTGTCTGTGGCAGTCCACCCAACACTCCATTCTTCACTCTGTTCACTTCAAACGGGGACAAGGAGAGTCACCAGCCAATTTGATGTTGGAAAACTAGCAGCATTATCTGTAATGATTTCATTTCTCTTTTACCCTGCCCTGGGCAACCATGAAATGTAAGCCAGAGTTAACCTAGAAAGGAGGATGAGTAGCTAACTTAGATCTGCCCTTGGATTACTCTACATTCATCCAAATCACAAAAGAGATTAGAAAGCCTCCATTTGACCCGGAAAATGTATGAAGCCAAAGTGGATAGTGACAGCGTCATCTGTTTATAACCGTCCTCTTAAGAGATACTGAATTTTGTAAAAGGTCAAATGTTGTAGGAAGAAGCCGACCATGGCAGGAAGTAAATAAATATGGTAAGTGGCTTATGCTTGCTTGTTTATTTAGGAAAGTATTCTGAATGAACTTTGGCCTCACAGAAACCTCTTAGACTTTTAATATTCAGTCTAGAACTATAACCATACTTTAGCGCATCCCACAACTGATTTTGGAATATCAATTTCGCGGTGAATTTTTATTTTTAGAAAAGCATTCAGAAGGCAAGAGAAAATTAGTTTGGTGGTTTCTCAATAAGTTAAACATAGAATTACCCTACGACCCAGCAATACTATACTCCACTCCTAGGTATATACCCAAAAGAATTAAAAACAGGGGCCGCCCGGTGGTGCAGCGGTTAAGTTTGCACATTCCACTTCTCGGCGGCCCGGGGTTCGCCGGTTCGGATCCCAGGAGCGGACATGGCACGGCTTGGCATGCCACGCTGTGGCAGGCATCCCACATATAAAGTAGAGGAAGATAGGCACAGATGTTAGCTCAGGGCTAGTCTTCCTCAGCACAAAGAGGAGGATTGGCAGCAGATATTAGCTCAGGGCTAATCTTCCTCAAAGGAAAAAAAAAGAATTAAAAACAGTTTCTCATTAATAACTTGTACATGAACATTCATAGCATTATTTACAATAGCCAAAAGGTGGAAATGACCCAAATGTCCATTAATGGTTGAATGGACAAATGAAAGATAGCATATCTGTACAGTGGAATATCATTCAGCCATAAAAAGGAATGAAATACTTACACATGCTACAATGTGGAGGAACCTTGAAAACATCATGCTAAGTGAAAGATGCCAGACACAAAAGGTCACCTGTGTGATTCCATCTGTATGAAATGTCCAGAAGAGGTAAATCCACAGAAATGAAAGCATGGGCTGTGGGAAGGAAAGAATGGGGAGTGACTGCTTAACAGGTAACAGAGTTTCCTTTCGGGGTGATGAAAATGCTCTGGAATTAAATCACGGAAATGTTTGCACAATGTTGTGAATGTACTAAATGCCACTGAATTGTACAGTTCAAAATGGTTACATTGGTGAATTTCATCATATATTTTGTACACAATCTTTTTTAAAGGGTCAGAGAAGGCAACGGGGTTGGGAGACCCTGAGAACACGGTCTCATGACTGAGAGCTCCTGGAGAGCATCAGCACCAGCTGCCCCCCTTCCCAAAGCAGCCGCCTCTTGCTCCTCTTGCCACGAAAAGCAGCATTTCCTCCCCAGCTGGCGCTTTTTTTTTTTTTTTAAAGAACTCTCTGAGTAGGTTTTGAATCTTCAAGATTTGACTTCGTTAATCTCACCGAAAAGACTTTTGCAAAGTATTTATTTTCCCGATACTTTATGTAAAGGAAGTAAGAACAAAACACTTCTACTTAATAAAAATAAGTCCTTGCTCGGTCTGTCTAGAAATGGTTTAGCTCCGCTCTTAGCTGCAAGCCTGTAACAAGGTGCAAGCCAAAGAAGCTGGGGGGTCCAAAACAGTCTGACGGCCACAGACTATAACCTGAAGGCTGCTGGGGTGACCAGCCCCCAGGACTGGGAGTTGCGGACATGGCTGAGTCTGAAGGAAGGTTTTCTGTCCACATAACCCATCATCGAAATCAATGGAGTTTTCCCAGCTTTTAAAGTTGGGCCACCTTCACATTGGCATGTGGTAAATACATGCATCATCTGTGCATTACCGGGAATAAAAATATGTCATCCTTTGCCTGTGGAAAACATGGAAACTTCTTTCACCAAAAAAGGAAAAGAAAAAAAAACATACGATTTTAGATTTCCTATAGATTTCTGAGTCAAAAACAACATCTAAGGCTGCTATTTTAAAACCAAACTAGAGAATTTTTTATGACAGGAAACCATCCTAACAATGATACCTTATTTCCTGAAAACTCCAAGTAAATTCCACATATTCCCATATTGACTTCACCGGAGTCCGAGGCGACAATTTCCACCGCTTAGTCACCTGAGTGTGTCCTGCATATATCATTTGAAACTTTAGATGCAGCATGCTTTATATTCCGAGGTCTCACTCCACATTTGAGCAATATACAAAGGATCAAGCAAACTAAAACATACGAGATATTAACACGTGAGGAAAGTTTATATGATCCCAATTTACTTTGATTTTTCCTGAGAGGTAGCAGTTCGATAACCGAAAGCCTCTCAGAAAAACACCAACGTAACTTTGCATTATTAATTTTGACATCCTTTCCTAAGGAAGACCTTCCAGAGTCTGGAAACGTGGTGTCGTTCTTTTCCCTTCCCAGCCTAGAAGGCCTGGTGAGTTGACAGAAGACACAGACTTTTCTGCAGTCGCTGAAGTGTTGGGAACTTCAACTGAAATGGAAGGGGAGAATGCAAGGCTGAAGGCACCATTACCCACACGAGGTCCCTGGAGCGGCCGCCCACACGGTGGTCATGGGCACGTGGCCCAGGTCACTGCTGTGCAGCCTCCTCCCTCGAGGAGCGTCTCTGAGGCCTGCAGTCCAGAATCCTGCCTCACTTGGTGGAATTCCACGTGCCCCTCTCTTCTGTGGCCACTCCTTTTTGACGGGAGCGTGATTAACATTCCACAGACACCCCAGGCACGGCTGGCCTCGTCGTTTCTGCTCGATGTACGGCCCCTGATATCATGGACAGTTATTGGTTGAGTCCAGAAACATCCTGGGTTGTCAAGATGTTTGAATTCTATAGAGGAATGCTATCCCCACGCCAGCCAAGAGCACACCTGTCCGTCTTTTTATCCCTTGTCTAGTTTGTGGCCTGTCAGGATTTTCAAGTCCCTTGAGCAGAAGACGATTCGTCTGAGATGAAGGGCACATGTCTGACGGTGACTACCCACTTTCTCTCCGGAACGTACCCAAGGGAGTTACCAAAAACGCCGTTACAAAAAAAGGACCCACATTTTCTGCCCAAGCAGCTTTCCTGTCATAGAATATGCCGACACGCTTGGTCTGTCACCATGGTCCGTAAGAGCTTGAGCCTGTGTTCAAATTCAGACTCCACCACTTTACAGTGATGTCACCTTGGGCAAGTGGCTTCACCTCTCCGAGCCTCAGTTTTTTCGTCTGTCAAGTGGGAGAACAATACATGCACCCGCCTCTTAAAGAAAAGATCCCCATGAAAAGGTTAAAAGTGACAACGCGCGTCAAAGCCCTGGGAAGGCTGGGGCCGGGCGCTTAATGACTGTTACTGCTATTTCTTCTCACTCCTCTGCGCCTCCTCCTTAGCTAACGTCGTTTCACCAGCTGGGACAGAGGACAGGAAATGGAAACCACGGGAGAGGAAAAAGGCCGTCTGCGGATGTTTTAGATGTATTTACAATGTGAGGCGGGGGAGACAGACATGCGAACGCAGAGACCAGAGCTTTTGAGCTCAGCAGAGAAAGAGGGGAGTCCCAAGCGGCGAAGGGTTGGAAACTACTGACGGAAGAACAGGATTCATTTAGGAGGACCGCCTACTCGTGTCAACACTGCCCATGCCAGAGGCTCAGATTCCAGCCCCGCAAGATGCACACGGCTCCCTCCTGTTCAACAGCCACCGTACGCCAGCTTAACAGAGAGGTACAGCGCTGATGGACTAACACAAATTCAGTCACCACCAGTGGGGCCACATCCCCCCAGGGCTCTGGACACATCTCCACCAGCTACGGGGGACAGTCAGAGCTGAGCCCCATCACCCATTTGGTAGGAGAAGTGGGGCGCTCAATAAGTATTTGTGGAACAGGTAAATGTTTGAATGAAGGAGTTAAACATGCACATGTGAATAATTAAGGGTAAGGAGGCAGAGAGGCTGTCGGGATTCAAGCAACTTCTGCTCATCCTTTAGGACAGGGCTGGGCAAACTTTTTGTGTAAAGAGCCAGATAGTAAACATTTTGGGCTTTGCCAACCATACGGACTCTATCTCAACAACTCAACTCCGCAGTGTAGTTTGAAAGCAGCTGAAGAAAATATGTAAATGAACGGATGCGTTCTGATAAAACTTGATATTTGTACACAGAAATGTGAAGCTTGGGGGCCGGCCTGGTGGCGCAGCAATTAAGTGTGCACGTTCGGTTTCGGTGGCCTGGGGTCCGCCGGTTCAGATCCCGGGTGTGGACACGGCACTGCTTGGCACGCCATGCTGTGGAAGGCGACCCACATATAAAGTAGAGGAAGATGGGCACGGATGTTAGCTCAGGGCTAATCTTCCTCCAAAAAAATAAAAAATAAATGTGAAGCTTGTATCCTTTGCACATATCATGACTTCTTCTTCTTCTTTTAATTTTTTCAACTGTTTAAAAATGTCAACATCATTCTTAGTCCACAAGCTGTATAAAAACAGGTGACAGCCGGATTTGACCCGAGTGGCTTTGCCAACCACAGCTCTAGGAAAAGTAGGAGACAAGTAGATGAGGAAGGAGGGAGACGACCAAATATTTCTTCAGTCTCTACTGTTTGCAGGGACTGTGCTAAGTGCTGCTGGGGACAGAACAGCGAAGAAAAACAGGCCGAGCCCCTGCCCTGAGGAGCACGTGTTCCAAGCAGGAGAACCAAAGGAGGTGATTTCGGGTTGGTATGGAGGATATACGCAGGATCATGAAATAGACCAGGGAGGCCGTCTCAGAGAGACAAGGGGCTCCGTGCATTCACATACCTGATCACGTGTAAACCCCGGACCGCTCTGTGGAGATGGGAAAAGTGATATCTAGGCCAGTTACGTGACCTGCCTGAAGTCTCAGAGCTGGTGATTGGAGAAACCAGGTCCCAAAGCCACATCCACTTGTCCCCAAGTCCTGCGCTTGGTGGAGTAGCTGGAAAGGAGATAACTCAGTAAGAGTCAGGGATTCCAGATCCAAATTCCTCAGGGCCTCAGTTTGAAGATGGAAAATGAGGATAATCATCAGGATGGTTGCGAACATATGTAAGAACCTGGGGACACACCAGTCAACAGTGCCTGGCACACAGTAGGTGTTCCGTGGATGTTAGGAATCTCTTCCATTTTTTCCCAAATAATCCTAGTCCTTCCCTTTGTCTGCAGCGCGGCGTCCTTAACTGAGGCCCGCCCAACCTACTGTGCATTTGGCCTCCCCAGTTGGCAGCCTCTACATTTAATTATTGTCACAATTAATCTGAAGTGCTCACAGCATGTGCTTTGCAAACTAAGGACAGTAGGCTTCAGGAGACGTCTAATGCTGCAGATCAACCTCGCACACAAAACAAGGCAGCCAGATTTGGGGACTGTCATGCCTCCTCCAAGCCCCACCCATATCCTTGGAAATTCCCTTAGGACAAAGTTTTCCCTTGAAAATGATAAACAGAAAAAGAAATCTCTTAGATTCCAACGTCCATAATATTCTTGTTTCACAGTTGTCTATGTTTATCTTGTATTTAGCAAAACCTATGAGGTGACGTGGGGGGAAGTGATTCTGCAGTTAAAAATACACAAAGGATTTCTGGCCTAAATTTCAAAAGTTAGAACCCCACTCTGCACTAATAATCAGAATGCCTGGCTCATGGTTACAATGAGAGAAAAATCAGGGAAGGCCAGCTTTCCATAGGCATTCGAAGGACATAGTATTTAATCACCAAACAAGCAGTCATGTGAAGTAGACAAGTATCCCAGGACATATGTTATTACCTGAAGTCCTTTAGAAGGAGAAAAAAATTCGTATGGATATGGACTGGAATGTTTAGATAGTTGCTACTGTTCACTCACGATCAAGGTGGTGCTTTACTTGCGAGTAGGATGTCGGGGAAAGAGAAAATTGTAGCAGATTAAGGATGTAATGCACATTTAGCACATAGCATAAGGTATGAAATTTAGGGTGGTCTAAGAGAAAACACAAAGAAATTAAACATTAATAGTAGCCAGAAGAGCTTTTCTTGGACAATAATGAGAATGAAAATGGTGCAATTGTTTGGAGTATTTACCAACAATAATACACCAGCAAGGCTGGGTATGAAACACTATGGCCATTTCTAAGGAATTGAGGTGTTCTATCAAGTCAAAGTGTATCAACCAGGGAAATAGATGGCATTCTCAAGTCAGGATAATCCAAGCAGGATTGAACAAGGAGACTATCTACGAAGGTAGACAGTGTGCAGGAGACCCCAGGGAGAAGGGCTGGTCTCTAGGCCTGACGGGATGCACAAAGCGGGTGCTTACTAGAACTCAGAGAGGCGCGGAGAGAGGACAGGTTGAGAGAAGCAGTGACCTTGAACTTAGGGATACGGCCAAGCTTAGGTGACACCACAAGGAGGGAGCCGGGGAAATACATACCTCAACCTCACTCTCTACTTTCCCTCCATCTGCTGGGGCTCCCCACTGGCCAAACCCAACCAGAGGGCCCTTGGTATGGTTTATAGGTTAGATACCTTGGGAGAGGGCAGGGTGGAGGGGTGACGAGAATTGAAATGGGGGTGCAGACAGATTTGCTGCACACAATGTATTCTTTCTCTCTGTGTGTATATTTTTCCATTTCTGTATCTCAGATGAGTCCACTAAAATATTAACTCTAAGCAGCATTGGCTACAATAGTCTAGGCCATGTGGCAAGTGCTTAGAAATACCTCTTCTGCACCATGAGCCAAACAGACAAAGCCCCTCCCTTCATCAAAGCTATATCCATTTCTCAAGTTTCTATCCAGCACCACGTATCTAAGTTTTACTATTCTATATTTCCAATTCTGATATAGCTAATTCTTCAGTATTTTTTTTTATTTCAGATAGCCTAAAAATGTCTCTTATTTTCCCCCACACTGAGACTTTTCATGCCCCTCCTTCATTTTCCAGAATGATCCGTACTCATTTCTGTTATGGAACCAGGTTTGTTTTTGCCTGTCACCCAGAAAGCCAGTCAGTGAGTCGATGAGGTTGCAGCAGAAAGAGGGTTTAATCACAAGGCATGCAAGTGAGGGAGCGGCAGAACCAGTCTCAAATCCGCCTCCCCGAAAATGGGGACTCAGGGATATTTATGGGGTAGGGAGCAAGATGGTCTGAAGTGTGGAGACAGAGGATTGGAGGTGAGGAGAGGTGAGGTCATTGGTGATCTGTGCAAGCATAGTCAAGCTTCACGCCTCTTCATAGGGTGCATGGTCACAAAATGGCTGCTTTACCATGATCTGAGGGTGGATTTTTTAGCTCCTCGATGTCACAAAGATCACTTGTCAAGCATTTGCGAGGGCCCAGTTGACGGGATGGTGGTCTCAATTGGCCTGAACTGGACAAGGGGGTCTCAGCTCCTAAAAGACCACTCAATTATTCTGTTGATAAGATGCAGTCAGTTGAACTGGTCCTGGAGGGTCCGTGGTTACATTTCCACTTGACCCTCCAGATCTTCCATGAACAAGATGGCGCCCAGAAAAAAGTGATGGAGTGAATGTTCAACAAGTATCAAGAAAAGTAAGTGTTCAAGCAGCAGCGTCCAGCATTTCTTTGCAGGACAATTCCATACATGGGGCCTACATATGCCAACTCGCGTCTGGCTATGCCATTATTCTCCATAGTAATACAAACCCAAAATAATTAATACCTCTCCTCTCTCAGCAAATGTCCAGCCCCTAGTCCCCTGTCCTCACGTTCAGCTGGAAATCTCACTTCTTACTTCACTGAGAAAATTGAAGCAGTGGGACGAGAACAGTCACCAGTTGCCACTGTCCCCTTTACAAACCACATCTACACCTGGCCCATATTCTCTGCGTTCCTCCAGTTCCTACGAATGGCCTCTCCAAGTCACCTCTTAAAGCCAAACCCTCCCCAGGGCATCTGGTCCTGTCTCCTCCGACCTACTCAAGGACCTCTCTCCAGCACGATCCCTTCTTTCCCGCATAAAATTTCCCGCTCTACTAAATCTTTCCCGTCAGCGCTCAAACTGGCCAATATTTCTTCCATGTTAAAAACAAAAAAATAAACCTCTTTACCTTTGTTATTCGTTTCCTGTGGCCTCATAACAAACTGCCACAAACTGAGTGGCCTAACAGAACAGAAATTTATTCTTTTCACGGCTCTGGAGATCAGAAGTCTGGAATCGAGGTGTTGGCAGGATGCACTTCCTACAGAGCTCTAGGGGAGAAATGGTCTTGAATTTCCCTCTGCCAAAGACACTCGTCATTAGATTCAGGGCCCACCTGAATAATCTCCTCATCTCAAAATCCTTACCTAAACAGTATCAGCAGAGACCCCTTTTCCAAATAAAGTGCCATTCACAGGCTCAGCTAACTCCTGTGTGATCTTTACTCGGCTACAGGAAGTCACAGCCTGCCAACAAAAAGATGCAGAAGGAACGAGCCATGGAAAACCACCAATTTGCAGCCTCCACTGAAACAACTGACTCAGGCAAGGAATATCTTGGATGCTAAAACCGTGGGATGAAAGGTCACCTGGAGAAAGGATAGTCACACAAACTCTACGTATCATCCAACAGACTCCTTATTACTTAACAAGGGGATGGGCACCTTTGCAGTGAAGAAATCTCGTGATGCCCCTGAACCCAGGGATGAGGCCTTGTATGGGCACCATTGGATGGGATGCACTGAGAGGACCCAACATCACCTCTGCGGTACCTCAGTAGAAATGGACAATCTGAGCCTACTCATGAGGAGATGATCAAAGCCACGTCAAGGGACAGTCTGCAGAATAACGGATCTGGATTCTTCAAAAATGCCCACATCAGGAAATCCAAAATAAGGGCCATGGTGTTCTTTTTTTTTTGAGGAAGGTTAGCCCTGAGCTAACATCTGCTGCCAATCCTCCTCTTTTTGCTGAGGAAGACTGGCCCTGAGCTGACATCTGTGCCCATCTTCCTCTACTTTATATGTGGGTCACCTACCACAGCATGGTTTGCCAAGGGGTGCCATGTCCACACCCAGGATCTGAACCTGGGAACCCCAGGCCGCCAAAGTGGAACTTGTGCATTTAACTGCTGCACCACTGGGCCGGCCCCTGGGGCGGGGTGTTCTTGATTAAAGAAGACTAAAGGCTGGGGCCACCTCATGGCCGAGTGGTTAAGTTTGCACGTTCCACTTTGATGGCCCAGGGTTTCACCGGTTCGAATCCTGGGCACAGACATGGCACCACTCATCAGGCCACGCTGAGGCAGCATCCCACATGCCACAACTAGAAGGACCCAAAACTAAAAATACACAACTATGTACTGGGGGGCTTTGGGAGAAAAAGGAAAAATAAAATCTTTAAAAAAACATAAAAAAGAAGAAGACTAAAGGCATGACAGCTACATGGAATGCCTGGATTTTTACATCCTGGAATTTTTTTTTTTTTTAAGCTATGAAGAGCATTAACAGGACAAATGGAGACTGTGTACCAGATAATAGGATTATATCAATGCTAAAGTTCTTTAGTGTGATGATTGTACTATGGTTACGTAGGAAAATATCCTTATTCTCAGGAGTTACTTAAGTATAAAGTGCCATAATGTCTGCATCTTACTTTCAAATGGTTTAGAAAAGAGAGAGTGACAGAGAGAGAGAAAAAGCTAATGTGGCAAAATGTTAACAACTGGTCAATCTAGATAAAAATACAGGTGCTCATTGTATTATTCTTCCAACTATTCTCTAGGCTTGAAATTTTTCAAAGTAACAAGGGGGTACACCTTAAACTAACACAACATTATATGTCAATGATATCTCAATAAAACTGGGGGGAGGAGATATTGAAGGGTATCATAAAAATTATCACAGAGCCATTCTTAAATATCAGAAATAAACTAAAAAGAGTCTTTGAAAATCATCTGAATGATGGAAGCCTTGCTTGCCAAAGCTTTATGTAAGAAAAGCTAAAGAGAATATTGGTTGCA